ATTAGATCCCGAAGCTGGGCTGACTCACAGCGCTCCTCTACTTCCTGAGACTCTAAGGTAGCTCTGCTGCCCCTCCTCTCCTTACTGCCGTCTTTCTGTGGACTTAGACCTTCGCTGGGTGGAGACTGCATTCCTTTTGCAGATATAGAGTATGGATTTGAGAGGCAGCAATCCGTCTGATTTAAATGTGTCTGATCTGGGCAAGGGAAGCAAGAATTGCAATGTATCTGAACTGTATTTGCCTCTTTGGCATTGTGCACTTGGCTTTGGGTACTTTGCTCTTCCCCTGAACAGCTAGTTTTCTTCTTGGTACTTCCCCTTTCTGAGCAACCCCCTACCCCCCACCCTTCGCATGCCCCTTTTCCTTTTCTTCCTTTTTCCATTTTTAAGACAAGGTCTTGTGGTGCTGGCCAGTCTGGCCTAGCCCTCCAGCCTCAGCCTCTTGAGTAGAGTCACAGGTATGTGCCACCATATTTAGTGGTTTTTCTTTTCTTGTTTTGCCTGGCCTCTGTAGGACAGAGGAGAAGAATAAGGGGACCTCATATTTTGAAAGTATATAAGTAGAGAACACTTTGGATTAGCCTACTGGAGAAATATAAGATCGTGGGAAACTAAAATTTGATCCTGGAAAGATAATTTGTAAACCAGTTGAGGGGAAAAAAAACCTGGAAGAAAAAAAAGGCAAAGAAAAGAATGAAAAACAGTTATCCTTTGGCCGTTCTCATTGTTATTACCACTTGTAAGAAACTGAACAGAACAGACTTTTCTAGTGTCTTGGGGTCTGTCTCCTTCCCTTTAGAGATGAGGTTGCCTAGTGAGAAAGGGGACGATTTGTGCACAGGATATAGCAAATGATGGCATGATAGACAAACTACCCTCCCAAGCAAATATTTATTGGTGCCAATTCACTTCTCATTTGGGACCCAGAACTGGCTGCCGATGGCTAAACTATTACCTTTCCGCTATGGACCTGAACCAGTTCTTTGACTTTTTTGGAAGGAACCTGAAGGCAGTAACTGAGGCCTTTGCTTTGAAAATCACCACAGTGTAATTGAGAAACAGGGGGTCCCTTTTGCAGGGTCTTAGTCTTGTAGATAGAAGAATTTCAAAACTAACTCGGAAGTTTGAGAAACCAACAGCAGGGCAAACAAGCTGGAGGTGTTGGCAGCTGCTGGAAGGAGGGAGATGGAGCCGAGAAAGGAAGTCCTGCTTTCTGAGTCAGAGGTCAGGAAAGTAAGCAGGATCAGCCATGGAATTCTGAGTAGCTGCTTGGGAGGTGGGGGTAGAGGGGGTTCAGACCGAGTGAGAATGCCCAGAGTAATCAGGGCAAGCAGCCTTTGTATTCTGGCAGGTGTTGGAAATGAGAAAGAGGGAGAAAAAGCTTTCTGAGTTAGAAAGGAGGAACGGTATCTAAAGAATGTATGCCATTACAGGGGTAGTTATTCCCTCCGTGGTCTTAACATGTCTTCAGGAATATCATGTTCCCCTTCATATCTTGGTTTCAGGCTGTTCTCTGAAGTTGTATAACAGGATTTTCTCCTTGCTCAGGAGGTTCTGGCCTTGCTAAGGCAAGGGAAATTCCTGCTGTCCTTATCAAAAGGCATTGTCAACCACTAAGTCATTTAGGACAGAGGTTTCTTGTGATTAATTACCAGTACTTCAAATTCCAAAGAGGGACAATTGCGATACACCCCCCTTTCTCAGAATTAGTGTTAGCAGGAGCACGGGACTAAGCTGATCCAGGGACCTATCCATCCTCACTGACCTTCAAGGCAGCTAATGTTTAACTAGCTGCCTAACAAGAGTACTTCATATAGTTGTTTACTGTGCGTGCTTTTTCTACTAGAGGAGCTAATTAAATATCTGTTGAGTTATATGCATCAATGCTCTGCTGAAGAATTAACACCTCAGGACAAAAGAAGTTAGAACAGAAGTTGCTGAAGACCAACATCTTCAAGAAATAGATTGTTGAGGCCATAGAGTGGAAGAGTTTAAAATGAGTTTGTGAGGGTTATGTTGACAATTTGTTCGGCTTTAGGATGAGAGAGTTTTTCCTTTTGAACAGATAGAGGCATGCTGTGTGTCTCTTGCCGGCTGGGTGGGGAGTTGCTGTGACATAGGAAATGTGTTGTGGGGAGATAATAGGGATATTGCCATACAGATGTCATTTCTAGGGAAATTTTCACAAACACATATCATTTCCTGTTTTTACTTTTTTGACGGGACTATTTGGCCATTTTTTTTTTTCTTTTTCTGTGTTTGCTGTTGTTATGTATTTTTGTTTTGTTTTGTTTTGTTTTTAGCACGTGCCTTGTTGGCAAATGTGAGCTGACTATAGTTGGTGCTGAACCTGTAAAGGGATCTCTTTTCTTAATTGTCCTAAGTGTCCCATGGAAGTAGAAGAGCCAGCTGGGTAAAAGGAAGCTCTTAATGAGTTCTTTGTTGTCCTCCAGAGCCTTTGGAATTGTTGAAGGCACTATAGCTTAGAAGCCTGTGTTTGCCTTTACAGTAGAAAGAATATTCCTCCTCGTTCTGTGATGGACACATACTGTAGCCACTGTCACTCACTTTCCCCCTCCCTGCAGCCAGAGCTCCAAAGGACCTGCGTGGAGCACTCCTGCCCCATTTTTTTTTTTTTTTTTGTCTGCTGTGCTTGATCCTTGATCTATGCTGTTTGCAGGTGGGGTGGCCCTCCTCTGAGACAGACATCAATTGTGAAGATCAGAGTGGGCTGCCTTTTGAAGAATTTTTTTTTCCACATTCTGCTTTGTAGCCCCGCTGAGATGTGGTGTGCCTTTCATGTTTCCTCTCCATCTGTCTCTCCAAAGGGCAAAGGGGGTGGGGGGTGGGGGTCTTCACATGACTGAGGCTATTGATGCTGGCTGCAAATTCATTTCAATTAATTTCTACATTTTTGTCTTGGGCATCTAACACCATTGTATTCCTTGATTTTGACTTTGTTCTAGCAAGGCTTTCCGTGAGCAACAAGAGGAAAACTTTCTGTACCATCAGAAGCAAGAATAAAAGAAAGTATTTCACTCATTGTTGGGGAGGGGGAGTCTGTTAGATGCTATAGAGTCTTTCTTTTGGTGATACTGGGTCCCAAGCAATAGTGCAAATGTTACAGATTGTATTAATTATCTGGGAAATCTTTTAGTGACCCTTCCTCAAACAATGATGAAGCATTTATTGACACCCTGCCATATACTAGGCACTGGAGATCTTCAAGCACATTGTTTCCTATGACTGTGTTGGAGCCGCCTTGGGTCTACTGAGTCCAAAGTCTTATTATCTCTCTGCCTGCAGCCTACCACTGGCCACACCTACTTTGGGACTTCCTTTCCTGGCTTCTTTTCATGTTACAGTGCAAAGTTGAAAAGTTGCCTCAGACTAGATAGCCCTAAAAGCATAAAATATTTAAGATATGGGGATTTAAAAAAGTCTTTGACGGCCCCCCCCCCCCCCCCGTACTGTATAGGAACAGCAATCAGGTCATTAACAAATAAGACTATTTATGGTTAAAAAACAAAACAAAACAAGTTGATCACAGTCCTGGAGGAGGTGGGAATGGAGGTTGGGCTGGGGGTAAGGGGAGGGGGGAGAATAGGGGA